AATACCGAAGGGGAAGATAGTTCCCAGTTACCGGTTGGAAGATTCCAAAGATTATGCATTATTTGGTAGGGGTATGATGGGGGAACTCACTAAGCTTTGTGCTTACAGTTTCAATTTTGGTTTCAGGTACCCCTTCGTCGATAGGGAAGGAGTCGGTGGTGTAGCACTGCATCACACACACATATGGTTTCCGCATGGAGATTTCTAGGATTGTGCTCTGATTTTTATTACTTTTGATGATATGGTTTTCAGACACGTTGTTATGGTTTTTGTAAATTCATATGACATAGGCAATGTTTAGTAAACTATGTTATGAATCTCGTAATAAAAAATGAAACTTTTGGCCTCGAAATTTAGGATGTTACATTTATATTATCTGATTATGTTTATATGTATCTATTGATATGTTTATATGTAGATCGAGCTTTGCTCGATGTCGGGTGGGGCCTGATGTCGGATTTCGGTGTGATGCCAGGCAAGGCCTGATGTTAGGTTGGGCCTGATGCCGGACTTTGGTCCAATGTCGGGTGAGGCCCGATGTAGCGGGAAAGGCCCATGTTATGTGATTATGTGATTATGTGTATGGTAAGTGGTAGTTTGGAAAGACTCACTATGCTTCGCTTTTACAGTTTCAATTTTGGTTTCAGGTACTTCCAGTAGCCAGGGGAAGAGCTCGGGATGAATGCAGTGCACACAACATTTGTTTAGCCTGGGATGTTTTTACTATGACATGTTTGACAGATGTTTATATTATTTTGAGATACATGACTTATGGTTTTTATGTTATGAATTGTTAAATATGGTTTTATTAATGATTTAAAATGAAAATTTTGGACCATATTTTTGGGATGTCTCATGAAGCTAATGATGGTCAAAGAAAAATTCCCCAGATAAGAAATACAAGCCCTTGATCAAGAGCTTTGGAATCTGGCCAAGCAAGGATCGGAGATAGATGCCTACACCTCCCGATTAAATGACCTTGCTAACCTTTTCCAATGAATTGTACCCTTGGAAGATAAGAAGATTGATAGATACATATAGGGACTAGCATCACACGTCCAAGGTCTGGTTACTACATCCAGACCTTCCATTTTTTATACTACTAAGCAATTAGACTATCAATTGACTGACCAGTGTATCCATTGGGGTACCATGGCCCCGCTAGCAGAAAAGAGCCATACTGGAAGTACCAAAAGGAAGCTTCATGGGAAATCAAAGGGGGACTCCAAGCATCAAAAAAATTAACTAGACACTTTGGCTGTCTTTGCTGCAGTTACCAACACTCCGACCCTAACTAACTCCTACACTGAGACTTTATCTCATTGTATAGAGTGAAATTTCAATCACGAAAGAAATTACATGGAGATAATCTACAACATGTGTAACATGAGAGGTCACATCTCAAGGTACTGCAAAGAAACCCCAACTATTATGGCATAAGGTAGCTGTAATTGTTTTAAATGCAATCAACCAGAGCATTTTAGGAATGATCGCCGGCAACTGAAGAATCTAGGTAGCAATGGAAGGGTACTTATGATCATTAATGGAGATGCTCTCAAGGAACCACCTGAGATTATTGGTACATTTCATATCAACAATGTTTAGGATTCGGTTAACTGATATTGAAGCCGATAAAATCTTTATCTATCATATGTTTCGGAAGACAACAAAACATAAATTATGCAAGCTTAATGAAACTTACACAGTAGATATGGAAATTAACGAAATAGAAAGCACTTTAGAAACACTCACCGATTGCTTTCTCAACATGACTAATCATGCCATTCATATAGAAACTAAGGACCATTGCTGGTAATCTACGCTTGCTAAGTGTATAAGTTAAGGTTGTATATAATTAGGATTCTATAGACTTAGAATTTCTGACTTCGTTGTACTTCTTGTTTGTAACATCCCAAAAATACAACCCAAAAATTTTTGTTTGAAAACATTACTAAACCATAATATCAAATATCAAAAGATAAAAAACATGAATTGCATATCTCAAAATATCATAATATATTTATCAAATCAAAACTAGTGTTAAGGTCATATCAAAATATCATAGTCTAACTCCAAGGCTAAACTGTGGTGTATGCCATGCCATCATCCCGAGCCCTTCCCTTTGCAAGCTGAAGTACTTGAAACCAAAACTAAAATTGTAAGAACGAAGCTTAGTGAGCTCCCCCAAACTACCACACACCATACATTAACATATGAGCACATACTAGGCCTTGCCCTCTGCATCGGACCGAAGTTCGGAACTAACTAGGGCCTCGCCCACTGCATTAGACCGAAGTACGGAACTAACTAGGGCCTCGCCCACTGCATCGAACTAAAGTCTGGAACTACATCGGATCGAAGTCCAGAACTAACTAGGGCCTCACCCACTGCATCGGACCAAAGTCCAAAACTAACTGATCATAGCATAACATAATCAAGGCATATAACATAAACATATATACTGCATACTGCATCGGACCATAGTCCGGAACACATAACACATAATGTACTTGTATCACAAAGACATCAAGCATACTGAACTACTGCATCAGATCGTAGTCCGGAACTACTGCTAACTAAATGGGTCGTCATTGTGGCCGTAGACCCCTTCATACTAGAAGGAAACCTCACCTCGTAAGGATGTTTGCTGAAAAGCTGATTGGGAACTGTCTGACTGCTGCTTCGGTAACTCCCTGGCTACCATTCATAAAAGACACTTAATCAAACACTAATAACAAATCTTAGGGTAAAATAACTATTTTACCCCTAGTCAAAGTCAACAACCTATTGACCTGACTCGCCGAGTTGGGGCGTCAACTCGTCGAGTCCCTATCTTTCCTTATGTTTCCTTACCCGACTCTACTCGTCAAGTTTAGCCACAACACGACGAGTTCCCCTTTCTTATTGACATCATGCCAACCTTCATCCGACTCGTCGAGTTGTATGATCAACTCATTGAGTTCTCCTTCAACATAAGAACACGTCTAGTCTGTGACTCACCGAGTTGTATGAACAACTCGTCTGTTCTTGCGGGTAAGGAGATTGCCTTGGACTCGCCGAGTCAGGGCGTAGACTCACCGAGTGCCTCTACACTCAGATCCATGTCTTAACTCACTGAGTCCTTACTTTACTCACTAAACAGACTTGCTACTACTGAATCGGGGATCTAAGACTCGTGACCTGACTCGCCGAGTCAGAAGAACGACTCGTCGAGTCCTTGGCATACAGTTTCTATTCAGTTTATTCTAATTAGCTTTAGTGCATCCAATACATAGATCTGGGTTTTGGGGACTATCTGAACACGTAAAGTTGCTAACTTTACGTGTATCTATGATGCTATGAAGCAATAGCACTCAAACTTGATTATGGGGTTATTTGACTAAAACACGTCCATGGTTGTCAAAAGGTGGCGTTCTTGAGCTCCTGAAGCTCAAGAGAGGCTATATCCGTGATAAGGCTTAATTACAAAGCTTCATCACTATGGATTTGGGGTTTTTGAGCTTAAAACCATCAATTTGGGGACAAACTAGATCTAGTAGTATAATAATCAAGATGAAAGCTTTATTACCAGAAAGGATGGCCAAAGAGGAGTATAATCTGGATCTACTTCTTCTTCCTTGAGTTCTTCTACCTTCTCCTTCTTTTTGCTCAAAAATGCACCAAAAATTCCTTCGTAAAGGAAAAGATCACTCACACACACTTCAAGGAGGCTAGGGTTTCATGAATAAGTCTCTGAGAGGTGAAGGAGGCTGTTTTGGGGCTATAATGATGTTTAAATAGGGTACACACCCTGAACATTAGGGCTTCATCCAGACTGGCGAACTCGCCAAGTTAGGAATATGGACTCGTCGAGTCGCCACGCCAAATTCACGTGCTGACCCGCTGTTACTCGACGAGTTAGGGCCACTGACTCGTCGAGTAGCTTCTAAAATAAGAAGATAAAATAATGTTTTAAATGCATCCCAGGAACAGGGTTTTACATTGTTCCTTGTTTGGTAATGGGCTTAAGGTAGAATCACTTATTCGACCGTCTATTCGATCTTTGATTATATACGACATATATACATCAGGCGGTTATAGAAGGACCAGGCAGGGATCATGTACCATGAAAATACAGTACTACTTATCGAAGCCCTATATACTATGAGTTAAAATTTAATTCGTAGACGAAATTTTCTTTAACGGGGAGGTAATGTGAAATCCCAGAGTTTAGGAGAAAAATTATACTGTCCATTTAACCATGAATCTCGTGATAGTCTAACATATTGAGTTTTAGTGTACTTAAAGTAAAATAAATAATTTTATTTCAATTATTATATGATGTCAGATGATACCTTATATCCAAATGTGTAAACTGTAAATCGAATTAAACTGCTTAAAATGCGTCTGAAAAGCTAAAATTTTGCATTAGCCAATTTTGAGCAAAACAACGTTAAAATATTATAGTACATGTTCCCCTGATTCCGAAAATATAAAGAACATTCAAAACAGAATTCGTATGCAAAAGATAGGACCTTTTTAAAACTTTAAAACCAGTATAATATTGATTTCTTAATACCGCTAAAATCGTGTCTATCTATTGACGAACTTGCACACTTCAAATGGTATTTCCAAAAGCGTTTTAGATTCAAGCTAAAGCCAAATATTTAATATCATATTTGAAATATTTATGGTAAAAACCTTTATAAAAATAGAAAAATCAAACGTTTTTAGATTTATTAATGACAAAACCTTAAACTATAGATAGGTCATTATTCTATAATACATACATTAGTTTATGTGTCTAATAGCCTAAGAAACGTGACATTAAACATTTGGTATCGGTTATCCAAAACATTCAATCATGTTATTTTTTAAATAATACATACATAAATATGTACCCGTTGAATCAACTATCCAAACCACAAGATAAATTATACACATAATACATACACTCAATTAAAATCATTAAAATCATGTCAAATATAATATTATATACAATGGTATAATTCATATTGTTTCCAAGTTTCAACTTAAATAAGATTACACACATACACTAGATTTTTACAAGATCATTCCCAAAAAAATTATTGTACACAAAGTTCATTACACATGCGACTAAGTCAATTACAAGAAACACACACTCTCACACTTGGGCAGTTTAGTGATGTGCCTCACAATCCTTTAGAGATTGCCAAGTACTTCCAATTCCTCATTTACTTCTAAAAATCTGCATTCCAAACTTACACACAAAAGATTATACAACGCTACACTTCAATTCAAAAGGAAACGTGACTTCCTTTCCCAATTGAAGCTGTGAATAAGGACTATAAACACCCCCATACTTCCCTTCGTTTCCAGTCAAGAACAACAGAGAACACATCAACATCCTGTTCTTGTCCTCATGCCTACCTGCAAACGAAACAAAAAAAACATCACGTTTTTGTTTCCTTTTTCTTTCCTGTGAATCATCAAACCCCAACAGTCTTATCGGTCACTGCAAAACGTCAATACCCAAACATCCACTCCATTCTATCGGTTTCTATCAAAAAATAATAATAATAATAATAATAATAATAATAATAATAATAATAATAATAAATAAATAAATAAATAAAGAGAAAAGAAAAGAGTGAACAAGAAACAATAAGGAACTTACCTGTTAACGATCGAGCAACCAAACACCCCAGGTGAGTTGCTACTGCTGTCATTTCCTTCCACCGAACCACCTCCTTCCTACTCCCTGTTGACAGTGGGAACCCACCATCGATACACCCATATTGTTGCATTTCGTTCATTCTTCCCTTAGTTTGATCGAGTTCTTTTTCGTTTTCCATTCTCCCAGTGGAACACAATGAAAAAAACACTAACCTGAAGTCACTAATCTCCTCCCCTTCGCACCTCACTGATAGAGTAGAAGAAGAAGAAAAGGTTCGCTGCTTCGTCTCTTTCCCTTTATTCGGTCCAACCATGCTTCGGAGATTCTCCCTACTTGCTTGACTTCGGTCGGCTACAAGATGTACGAACCAAGAAGGTTCCTTGGAGATCGTCTCCTTCCCTTTCCACCCACACCGATCTGCCCGACAAGAAGAAGAAGCCTCGCTGCCTCTACATCCCATCTCTCCTTCGGCCTCATCAATCCCCAGAGATGTCCTCTGCCCCATCGATCAGAAAGAAACGGTTTAGCCGCCTGCGAGATACCTCATGCCTCCGCTCTTCTTCGTGGTCTCCGACAACCGAGGAATCGGAAGCAGCACCGACGAGCCCTTCGCTTACTCCTCTCTTCATTCGTCTGCCTCGATTCACCCCCGATCCATTCTATTTGTTCCATCTGCAAATTACGAAGACGGGAGGGTTTAAAAGCGCTTATTTAGTTGATGTTTGGACCATTAAACAAAATGGTCCCTGTATGAGAATCTTGTTCGTAAAACCCCGAGCCCTTTTAAATTCCTTCAAAAATGACAAAATGAACCCTCCTTTGACAACACATTTTGAAATCAGTCCCATTTTGTCAAGAAGTTACATCACAGACCCTATAGATTGTTCAAGTTACAAAATCAGTCCCTCCTTGAACTATTTCAACCAAAGCAATCCTATGTTGCTTAAAATAAATTACGAAACAACAACCAATAGTTTATATTAATTACGAAATGGACCCGGAGTATTTAAAAGTTCAAGAATTATGGATTTACAGTTTCTCACGTCAAGCATCTCAAACAAACCGATCTCGAGCATATGGAACTCACGCTTCAAGGGGGACTGCTACGGCCCCACTTTTAAATATTTTTTGGTGTAATATATATATATATATATATATATATATATATATATATATATATATATATATATATATATATATATATATATATATATATATATATATGTATAGGAATGAATTCTATGGAAAACAAATAACTAGGGCAACATCTACCGGAACCAATAATCAAATAACACATGTTCATTTCTTTCTTCACAAGTAATGCATTATGGAAGTTATTGTGCAAGTGATGTGTTGTCATGTTTTCATTGGTTCAAATATGTGTTGCCCTAATCATTCATTTTCCATATAACTCTTCCCTATATATATATATATATATATATATATATATATATATATATATATATATATATATATATATATATATATATATATATATCGTAAATGCTTTGTTTATACATACAACGTCATCATTTTCATGCAATATAAATCATAGAAAAAAATTATTTACTATTCTACTACTTACGGTACGGAGAATATGGTTTAAAGGGCCGTATAGGGTTGTTGGATTTCAGAATAGGTTAAATGCTAAAAGGGTCTACCCTCTAGTGTTTTATGTCTGGCCCTCGTCTGTATATGGTATTACATGTACAAAATAATATTTATCATACAAAATACACATAAATTATCATTATTTTGTGTAAACACATTTCTAGATTGTGAAATATTCGTTTAAATACTTATATGTTATAAGTAAACAAAATAATTTTAAACATCATTATTTATATATGTTATGTTGTTAAAATAATACAACTAATAAAAATAACATATACATTCCGCTACAAATGTGCTATGATTGTATAGATGGTTATCAACTTGTTAGTTACAATATACTTCATACATATACAAAAATATATAAGTTTATATATTTACACAACTTATAGAACTTGATTCTTAGGCTCTTATATGTGCTTGTGTACACTACCCTAAGTTTTATCAAATGTTTAAATAAGTATCATAAACTTTAGCGTATACGCTTATAAAATATACTTGTCGTTTATTTATTTATCTGTATCTCTGGTTGCTAAACTACAACCTTGGTAGATAACTTTATTTGTATATCCGTATGTTAGTTTATCTGTATCTGTGGTATTTAAGTACAACCTTTGTAGATAACTTTATCCGTATGTATGTTTATCCATTATCCATACAAACATGGGCTTGGTTGCTTTCAAAATGGTTTTTAAGTATGGAATTACTTATGGAACATAATGTTTTGGTTTTCAAAGATTCATTACAAACACAATTTTATGTATAGATTTACTTATACAAACTATACATTTTGGCTTTTAAAGACTCACTGCAAACAGTGTTTTAACCGTTGTCATACATACAAAGAAAACACTTTTTGGATTTTTAAAAGTATTATTGTGGTTAGCAGAAAACCTGTAACACTCACTAACCTTTGTGTTGACCCTCAAACTTACATGTATTCTCAGGAAATCATTAGAAGAGCGTTCGTATAGAAGATTGGTTATGGAATATAGATGACCTAGCTATCTAGTTTTTGTTATCTGCTACCTGTTTAAGGAAACTACTGTACTATTATTATCTGTAAGAACCTTGTATTCAAACTTAATGATGGAATACAAATGCTAATTTGTTTATCATTGTACTTGTGCTATATATTCAGTTTATCCATGATCCTTGAACTTAGTCAAACTCCCGGCAAGTGGCGCCTCAGTCGGGGGTGTTACAACTACCCTCGTGTTGTTTGGTAGCATCAAGGAGGGGATTATAGAGCTTATGGATGAGAGGCTCAGGACTCTTCGAGCCAAGATTGTTGTGGGTCAGATTAGGGATCGAGCTCCCTTATTTTGGTAGTTTAAGGCCTGTGGAGCTCCTAAGTTCTTTGGGGATAAGGACCATTGCCAGACCACCGATACTGTGGCAAAGATCACCTCTAAGTTCCGAGAGAGGGCTTTGTTGGTTCTGCAGTATGTTGCGGATGAAGATGTAACGATCAAGGTTCAGGTAATTACTCTTTTTCCCCTAGAATGAAATTTCTTTGCAAAAGGGTCCCTACGTATGTTGGGCGTACATAGTTGTACGCTTAGCATACTGGGGGAAGTTGGTCTCGGTTGTGCACTACATATGCGGGGCGTACCAAGCAGTACACGAGGCATACGTAGCTCAGTACTAAAACCCTAATATCCAAACTTGTGACCTATTTAAACATCCTTAAGTCATTTGTACCTTACCCTAACCAGCCTCCATCACTCTCTAACGTCCCTAAAACCCTAAAATCCTTTGTATGTGCCTTTTGAGCTTGTGAGTGCTTGAAATACCTCTTTTTGGGTGTTTTGGCAAGAATAAGAAGTGGAATCAAACCTTGGACGTGGAAAAGATTTTGGATCCAACATTTGGAGCTCATTGGGAAGCTTCTAAAGGTAAAAAGCTCAAACCATGCCATCACTTTTGTTAGTTTGAGTTTGGGTTTTGTTATCAAGTCTATTTTTTGTTCTTAGACCCTCTTTTGTGAGTTGTGCGACTCTAGAGGTTAGGATTGTTAGATATAAGCTCCATGAGAATTTTGGATGCATAAAGTTGCCATCTTGAAGGTTGTATTGAGACCACGCATGACTCTAAGATCTCAATTGTAGTCTTAATGGGAGAAATGAAGTATTGGAGACCTATATGACATGCAAGGGCATAAAGTTGCCAACTTTATGCCTTAGGACATTTTAATAGACTGTGATCTGATGTTGTAAGTTGAAACCTTAAGCATTAAGAACTTAATATACTTTTTTGCATGGGTTGGTTGTATGTTGAGCGTAAGGTCTTGTATGGAACGTGTACGGATAAAGGGTCGAGTACGCTAAGCATACTAATGTGGTACGCTTGGCGTATGCACCACAGAAGAGTTGGGTTTCATTGGGCTTGCAAGATTATTGGGCCCTATTCTTCCCTGGGTCTGGTCCTATTCAGAGTTACTGGTCTTTTGTCGATGTCATGTTTGGGCATTCTTTGGTCATGTGGCCCATTCTAGTTTAGACTTTAATCCCATTAATGTAGGTTAGACATTTGGGCTTTGATGTTGGGTCTTAGATTAAGATGTTGGAGCCTTGTCTAATTTGTTGCTAAATTCTAATTGGGTTGTTTTGTATAGTTGTTCAGTGTGAGATTTTGGGCTAGTAGTCGAGCAACTTTTGTGTTTAGCAGACTGAGGTGAGTCTTCTCACTATACTAGTGGGTCAAAGACACCAATATTGGCCCATTACTTGATCTGAAATCTCTATAAATGATTATCCAATGGTCTGTTATTTGGTGTGTATTGATTTACAAGAAGATCATGCGGGTATGGCACATCGTATGACCATAAGGGGGAGCCCATGACACTTGGGTATAAGACCATGGGGACAACCCATGGCAACGAGGTTGAAGGCTATGGATGGAGTACACGATATTTTTATGTGTATATGTGCATGGAATTATATGATTATGTGATTTGTGTATTTTGGGAAACTCACTAAGTGTGTCCTTACAGTTTTATTAGGTGTTTCAGGTACTTCTAGTTCTAAGGGCAAGTGCCCAGCTCGATGGTGCAAGGTGCACTCTCTAGTATTCTGCACTAGTTTTTCTGGATACTCTGATATTTTGAAGAATATTTTATGTAATGGAATTTTTGATAACAAACATGAATGTGATTCTAAGTATTAAATGAAAACTTTTACCTAAGTTTTTGGGTTGTTACAAGTTGGTATCAGAGCCTTCGTTTGAGAGATTCGAGCACACTCATGGGTGTGTTAGAACTTAGACCGTTGAAATGGTAAACCCTCTTTCAAAAACGGAAATGAATACTTAAAGGTTTCTTGAAAACGGTTTTCGTAAGTAAAAAGGGGATAGTGCAAGCGCGTGATTAGCTGAGCTCAAGTAATTGTTCCGAAGGTGCTAGCCATGCTATATTTATATTTGGAAATTGATGTTGAATTGATTATTTTCTAAGAGTATGCTTTCATTGTTGTATATGTCTATGATTGCATAACCCTATAATGATGGATTATGCCATATTCATGTTCCTTGTTTGGTTGTGGGTTGGGGTAGAAGCTTATATGACAGTCTATGTGATTCTATTTGTGTATAACTTATAATCATAGGGAAACCTGCTATGACTTATTTGAGTTTCTGGTTTAGTGAGGATTGAGAAATCCTATAATAATCTTGAATTTGAGTTCATGGTGTATTTTGTTGTCATGTTATTTTATTTGGGTGATCTAGAGGTATCAGGTGTGGCCTTACGGAAGGTACACGTATGTGTGGAAGGTAGTATTGGGCCTATACTACTGAAATCACATGACCTTTACTCGAAACAATGTTAGACCTGTAAGCTGTAAGGATTCCGGTGAGGAGAAACCCCTTTGAACTTCCTTATCAATTTTTATTATGTGGTAGATTTTAGTTGAGGATGGTGATGATCACAAGAGGATCGGGCTTAGGATCAGGATCAGGATCAGGTTTAAGCTTCAGTTCAGAGCCCATTGATGAGAGGCTGCACGATCATATTGCTGCCGAGGTTACTCATGGCATCATTGACACTACCCTGGTGATCTTTGGTACCATC